GCCACGTGTCTCGCGTGGACCAATCACCCCCGAGGATGAGAGTCACGTGGCGCGAAGAGCCCAGTGAAAGCGGGGGCGTTCAACGCAGGGGCACGTGACCTTTGTAGCGCGTCCTCCTATCCTCTGTTAGCTGGCCGGCTGGGGCGGTGCTGCAGCGCCACCTACGGTCTGGAGGATCTTCTCCACTTCCCACCCATTGCTGTGGATTCTTAAGGCTCTCCAGGCTTCTATGTTCTTTTTGTTTTCCACTTTACTTTGTACTTTCTACTTATCATATCTGATTATAATTATTTAATATATTTTTCCTCCGCCCCCACTGAAAGCCTCATTAAGAAACAGGCATCATTGCACGCCCCCCAATACCTAGCCCTTGTGTAAAAATGGTCGTTAATGTTTATACAGGTACAGGGTTTACTGTAGGGTAGGCACTCTTCTAAGACCTTTGCATATATTAATGAATTTAATACAGCAACGTTTGATGCAGGCGTTGTTATCCCTATTTTACACATGAGGAAACTGAGGCACAGAGAGGATATGAACAGCAGTGTCCTATGCAGACACCTTGTATTGGCACAGGTGTTCGGGCCGGAAGAGGTCGTGTTAGTTGAGGGACCTGAAAAGTCCAGGAAAGTTGGGGGCGGGAGGGCAGAAGAGTTTGGTGAAGCTGACCCCTAGAATAGGAGGGGATCTTGCACCTTGAAAACCAGGCTAAGTAATTATGTTGAGTAATGGTTGGATATATACATGGTCTGGAATGCAGGAGGCTGGTTTGGCTGTAGAACTGGGAATCGTTGACATAAAAAGGGCAACTGACACCGTAGGTGTGAATGAAATCATCAAGGGGGGAAAGCAAGAGATTGAGAAGGTTCTAGAACCCTTAGAGTAGAGGAAGACTGGCTCAGAAGGGAGGAAAAGCAGTAATATTATGAAGGCCCTGAAAAGGGAATGTTTCACGGATCAGCCACATAAGGAAGCTTCCAAGAGGTCCAGCCACATAAGGAGAAGCGCCCACTAAATTGTGTTGCTATGGAGACCACTGGTGACTTTGGTGAGTGGGTTCAGAGGAACAGAATGGGCAGCGGGAGGTAAGGAAATGGACACTGCTAGTGAGGACCAGCTGCTCAGGGGAGGGTTGGGTTACCACTTACTGGAGGCCTCTGCTGCAGTCCACAGTCCTGTATGGTATCGGGGAAACAGTCTGTGTTCTTTTTAAGGAACTGTGGCCTAACTGGGGAAACAAATCATGGTCTCATGAAGTGAAAAAATATGCAAAACATCTTTTCTGATTTTTTTAAAGTGTGTCTGTGTAGAGAAACATGTATTGTGGTGTGTGTGTGTGTGTGTTACAAATCTCTGGAAGAATATACAGGGAACCCAAAGGTCACCTGTTTGAGTTGGGAAAGGAACTAGGTAAATAGGAAACAGGTAAAAAGGCACTGAGTATATAGGTGGGAAGGAGACTTTTCACTGTATACAGTTTTATTCTTGATTTTTGAACTATTAGTGTATTATTCAGAAAAAAAAAAAAAATGACTGTATTCATGTCCCAGGGCTGCTGAAGCAAATTGCCACCAACTTGGTGACTTCAATCAACAGAAATTAATTCTCTCATTATTCTTCAGGCCAGATATCTGAACCCAAAGTGTCAGTTGGGCCATGCTCCGAAGTCTCAAGGGGAGAATTCTTCCTTGCTTTTCAGCTTCTGGAGGCTCCTGGGGTTAGTTGGCTTGTGGCCACATAACTCCAATCTCTACTAGTGTTGTCACATGGCCTTCTTCCCTTTGTGCCTCTTCTGTGTCCTCTCATTGAATTAATCACCCTAAATCCAGGGTGATTTTATATTGAGATCTTTAACTAATTACATTGGCAAAGACCTTATTTCCAAGTAAGGTCTTTGGTTCTGGGTGGACCTGAATTTTGGAGGGACATGATTCAACTTTCTACAGTGATTGCTTACTAGGATATATGCTACCCAGAGGACCTTATTGTTTAGTTCACTGTTAAATCCTTATCAGCTAGAACACTGCCTGGCAATATTTAGGAATGTTGAATTAATAGCAGCCCTTTTGTTAGGCCTTCCCGACCTGTTGAGCATGTGATTAATAGCAAGCATAGTAAAGTGAAAAGATCAATGCCTGGGAGTCAGAATACAGGTTCTGATCTTGGCTTTGCCTCTGAAGCCATGTATGATTTGGCTATTAGATTTGTTGCATTTCCTATTCTGATAATCAAATTTGATATTTGGCACGTCCTACACTTTAACTTTGTAAGATAATGCATATTGTCCTTCAAACCCAATGACCACACCCTCCAGGAAGCATTGCCTGCTGTCCAACTGATTTAGAAGTCCCTGTGCCTCCTCTGAGCTCCAGCATGTGCTTCTCTCATACATGGTGCCTTGCACACAGTGCCACAGTAGTTCGTTTAATCGTACATCTTCACCATTACCCTATAAATGTCTTATTTGACTTTATCTGGTAGTTGATGTCTTTCAAATGAATTAATGAAGCCAGGTGTCTGGAAATCATTTCTTGATTTTTTCCCCAAACTCTTCCACCCCACCCGTTGTAGTCAGTCCTCAAATGCTTGCTGTGTAGCTACTCATTCCCCTTTTCATTGCCGCTACTCAGTTCAAGCCCTCTTGATATCTTGTGCACTCGTCCCAGGATCTCTGGTCTTCTGCTTCCAGTCTCAATGTTCCATTCAGTGCTCAGTGTTCTCTCAAACATGCAAATTTCCCCAGCATTTCTTTCACTTAAATGAAGTGCTACCATGTCAAATACTAGGATGACAACCATGAGAGAGACAAACAGTCCCATCCTCATGGAGCTTATACTGGGAGGGACCTTTAATTACACAAATCATATTCTATTAAAAATCCCTCAGTGACTTCCCATTGCTGGCTTAAAAAGCACGGTGTTCTGGACCAACCACCTGTCTGGCTTTCTCCCTGAATTCCCTCTGCTAGTCACACCAGCTGTTCCCCTTGACTTCCAGAAAGTCCTGTGATGAAAAGTCCTTTGCGCCACCACACCTTGCACATGCCTGTACTAAAGCATTACATCATGCTGGAATTATTACTTTATATGCTACTAGTCTTAGCTTTTGAGTCAGAGGAGTTTTGCTCCTTATGTATATCAAGGGTTGGTACAAAACAGTGAATAAATGCAGGAATTCTTTTTCACTGATTGGCAAAAAAAGTATCACAATTCAGTAGGAGAGAGAGGTTACTGAGCTAATCAGGAGAGTTCCTGGAGAGGGTAGATGGAATACATGGACTTCTGGGACTTCCTATGTCACTTTGGACAACTCAGCTTTTCTCTAATCCACTTCATTGAAACTGTTAACAAGTGAGATTGAACAGATATGTCTTCTTGAACACTATACCTTTTAAACTGGCATTTTGTTACTAAAAGCCAAGTAGCTTAGGAATTTTAACATTTGACATTTTAAAAGCTAAAATGGGTCAGTTTTTGTCGAGTTATGACAAGAATCAATGATAATCAGGAAGTATTATTTCATTGTAATTTGACTCCTATACTCAGTCTTACCTAAAACAAATTAATTTCCCAAGAGGTAGCTAAATATAACAGATGACATATATCCATTCATGAAAACATCATGACAATCAAGAAAATATACTACACCCAAGTTTCAATGTTTCCCTTTGTCATTCTTCCTTCTGACCTCTCTCTGCACCCTGGTCCTCCAGACAACCACTGATCTTTGTTACTACAGATTAGTTTGCAGTTTCTGTTATATAAGTGAAATCATGTAGTGTGTGCTCTTTTTGTTTGCCTTCTTTCATTCAGGATAATTAACCTGAAATTCAACTCTTGTATCAATAGATCATTTCTTTTTATTGCAAATAAAATCTTAGCATCATCCTTTTAAAGCTCCTTTGAGCACGTGGTTTAAAATTTTTTTCTAAAAAACATCTGAGGAAAAAATTGGCTACATGAGTTAATATTATTGTGATCTAAAAGAAGTAACAAGAGTCTAGACAGTGTGGCTCAGTTGGTAGAGCACTGTCCCACGCACCAAGAGGTCACCGGTTCCATCAATTCCTGGTCAGGGCACATGACCAGGTTATAGGCTGGAGCCCCAGTAGGGGGCGTGCAGAAGGCAGCCAATTGATGTTTTCTGTCTCATCCATGTTTCTATCTCTCTCTCCCTCTAAAATTTAAAAATATATATATATATATATATTTTTTAATTCTATTAAAAATAAAAGAACAGAAAATTAAATGCTAATTGTAAAGTTAACATCAAAGTACACAATCAGGCACTCAGTAATTATTTTTAAAGCTAGTGTGCCTATTACTTGAAGTGTGAAAGATTATTCCAGCATTAAAAGGACCACATTCCAAATTGTTCAAATTAAGTGTTTTTATTTTTCTCATAATTTAAAAAATGTGAACATTCTGTAATTCAGCCACAGCCTTTACTTCCAGGTAACTTCTTCATTGGGTCTCAATTCCCTGTGTGGAAAGAAAAAAGGAAGGAAAGGAAAAAGTATAAATAAAACTTATGAGGGGATAAAAGGGAAAGTCAGAATAATATGAATTCAATACTTTATATTCTATTAAATTAACCCATTTAAAAGTTTATTTTCATTCAACATATTCCTTCTATTCTCTCCTGGTTTTAAACCTTTACCCTTTTTTAAATTATATTTTTCCAGATTAAACTGTAATTTCTTAGCCTATCTTCCTATGAAAGCTCAATGAGTTTATTGAACGTTTCTAGACACTTTCCTGCTCATTTTATCTTTCCTGAAATCCTTGACTGTGAACTTCCTCTACAGTGACTGTGACTGCTGCTCAGTTCTCTTGTCTCTTGAGCTTCCTCCTACCCAGATGCACATCCAGCAGCAGACACCCTGCCATCTACAGAGACACAATGGCGGCTACCAGTGCCACTTGGTCACTCAACCACCACGCTTAAAGCTCTCAGGCTGTGTTGCTGAGAACAAAGCAACAAGCCACAACTAGCACCATTTATTTCAGCTACCCCATGGCTTAAGTAACAGGGTATATAATAATATATGTGAAAGCTGTATGTAACGTAGGCTTTGGTGGGAATGGTTTAATTTCAAACATTGTTTCTATATTAAAATGCACCCTGAATTCCAAAAAAAGGGGGATTTTTCAAAGATCTGAAATAGCCTGTTCATAAACTGAAGACTTGTTTACATTCCAAATGTAACCATACAGTGTTATGCAAGTACTAAACAACAAACAAGACTACAAAATAATATCACTTAAATCTAAGGCCTTGAGGTAGGGGGATTTAGCCCTTCTATTTATTTTTGGCATATATGATATTAAGAGTACTTCCAAAAGCTGGCTAATTGTTGGTTTCAAAATGCCCAAACGAACCTTTTAAATAACAAACTCTTGTTCCGGAAGGCAGTTAGCTTTTCGTCATTCTTTCTGTCTAGGTAACATCCAATGACAAATCCCATAGGGACAAGAACATGTACCCAGTGGTCCCGCACAAGCTGAATTAAATTCATCCTGAATGCTTAAAAAAAAAGAAGAATGTCAGAAATATAACTGTCTTTGAAATATCTTTTCAAACTGAATCTGAAACAGGAATATAGCCCTGAATATAGGAACAGGTATTAAAAGCATAAGCCTCTCTAAAGTTGCATGGCATCAGAATGTAGTATACTACATAAAATCTACTTGATAAATATTATATAGATGGCAATGATTAGTATAAGAATTATAATGCACTAAAGTCAATTTATTAACTTTTCCCTTAGTTTCATCAGTGATCTGCTGATATAATGCAGAAAGAGAGTATAAATTCTACCTGCAAAAGCTGAGTATCTGTACCCACCTAGTATTGACTTAAAACTTTTACATGTGTAAAGCTTTTAGAACCTCTCACAATGCTAAAATATAGACTAATACCATTTTGCCAGAAGCAGAATTCTTTAGATAAAGCTGTAATTACTGAATACTAATTTTTAAATCAGCAATAATCTTGTCTTGGATAAATCTCATTGGCTATGATACCGCTACTGTGCAAAGCCGAAAACTAATTTTTGAAAGGAAATGAAAATATCTGAAATTTTTAAAAAACCATATTCAATAATGTCACAGTAGATCTGAATGTTAATTAAATGACTCTATAAAAGACATAGAGAGAAGGGAACTTTTATAAAATGACTATTAGGTACCAAAGACATCATAGTATACAGTCCTATGCTTAACATGAAATAACTATATCCTCCTTATAAATAAGAAAGCAGCTTAACTCAAATAGGTATTAAGTGCAGAGCTGGAATTCAAACTTAGGTTCACTCCAAAGCTCTGGATGCCTTCGATTATATCACAGTGCCTCTAAGAGACAACTCCCTGAACTGATACTTATGGTACTTAAGAGCTTTTAAGTTCTAAGAGTTCCCAAAGACAGAGGAGGAATATGAGAACTAGAAATCATCATACGGAAAATAAGTTTACACTAATTCAATAAAAACATAGGTGAACTGTCAATTATCTGTAAAAATTTGCACATAAAGATGAACTCAAAATATACCCCTGTGTGCAAGAATCTAAAATGAATAAATCATAGAGAATGGCTGAGAACACATTGATGACACCCTAGAAAGAATTCAGTCACACATTCTGAGAAACGCATCCTTAGTCAGTTTCGTCCTTGCGCCTACTACACACCCAGGGTACACGGTACAGCCTGCCGCTCCGAGGCTACAAACCTGCACAGCATGTTGCTCTACTGAATAGTAGGCAATTGTCACACAACGGTAAGATAAAAAATGGTGCACCTGTAGAGGGCACTGACCATGAATGGAGCCTGCAGGACTGGAAGTCGCTCTAGGTGAGTCAGTGGTGAGTGGTGAGTGACTGTGAAGGCTAGGACACTACTGTGGACTTTATAAACACAGTCCTACAAGCCTTCCCCCTGCTTCCTTCCGACAGGGTCAGAAATAGAACCCCGAAGCTGTCAATGCTGCTCCAAGAACAGGGAGGTGGGCTGGACTGATTGGAAATACCGAGGAGAAACTGGCTGGGAAAGGCACAGATCACCGTGACAGAGACTGTCAGGAGGGAGTGAAAGGTCGCCTGAGATCAGCAGGAATGAGAAATCAAGATGGGCCCTGGCCAGTGTGGCTCAGTTGGTTGAGCGTCATCCTGTACACGGAGAGGTTGCTGGTTCGATTCCCGGTCAGGGCACATGCCCGGGTTGTGGGCTCAATCCCCATAGGGGGCATGCAGGAGGCAGCTGATAATGTTTCTCTCTCATCTATGTTTCTCTCTTTCCCTCTTCCTCCAAAATCAATAAAAACATATATAAAAAAAAGAAATCAAGATGGAAGGATAAAGGAACACAAGGGACTGTCATGGAAACGTGGTTTTGGCTACTGCATGTTGGAGCAGTGGTCAGATTAAGGAACTTTGTGGTATTCATGGAAAGGGCACTTAACATGGACAGGGTGTAGAACTGAGGACACAACAGTTTGAATTTGGAAATTTGTTTTTGGTTCCATTGACCCTATCTGGCACAAAGGGCTTTCTCTGGCATTGAGCTGAGGGAAGAAATAACTTATCTATGCTTTATATCATTACAACCTGAAAATATTTCCAAAGTCCAGGGACAGGCTGGTCCCACACTACCACAGAAAGCTTTTACTAAAGTCGCAGTGGCACTTAATACTTGTTAGATAGCTCCTGTGGACCTATGTCCTCATACAGGGTCTTAGGTCCTCAACAAAGAATTTATAACAATGTTCTCTGAAGACTCTCATCAGGCTAGATCTGGGAGGGCAGCAGCACCCTCTGAACGTGTAGTGCTGGGGGGGACAGGCTCCTCTGTGCTGAAACAGGTCAGTGGCTCACGGACTGGGATGTCATCTCTGCACTCGAACTGCTGTCCGTGAGGGAACCTACTGCCAAGACCTACAATTATACTCCAGCAGAGAAAGAAAATTCCTTCTGAACCACATCTCTTTCCATTTCTTACAGGAAATTCAGTTTCATCACAATCTTATGGTTCCACCATCCTATATACGGTATGTCATTGACTGAAATGTCATTAATATGGTGCATGACTATACACTACTGCTAACAAAAGTGCTTAGCACTGAACTGTGCTAGGATTATGTAGACTGGATTTCTGCCCCTCCTTCTAAGATTCTGGTTCTCACACACATTCCAATTCTTCATTTCTCAAACCTGAATCACTCCTATTTAAAGGCACTGGGTTAGGAAATGCACATGAAGTTAAAAATTGCACAATTACATGCATACCTTGACGATATTACAGGTTTGGTTCCAGACCAGGCAATAATGTGAGTATCCCAATAAAGTGAGTCATAATCTTTTTGCTGGTGGAAGGTCTAGTCTTCAATTTGTAAAAAACACAACACCAGTGAAGCGCAATAAAGTGAAGCTAGGTATAGCTATACTATATACTGTCTTTCATAAAGTGTAATATTACAGAAGGTTCCAGTCTGAATGTCACTGATCTAGAAAATTAGGGTGTAAGTAAATAAGGTGTTTAAAATATATAATTTACACTTTAGTTATCAACTAATTTTACGTTTTAGTCTATTGTGTACAGGTGGAATCCTCAAGCTCGACTATACATCGAAATCACCTAGGGAGTCTTTTTCAAAACTAACTACTCCTTGGTCCTACCTACCTTTGGGGTGGGCTGGAAAAATCTGTATAGTTGAAAGAACTCTCCAGCTGATCTGCTACAGATAGTTCTTGGACATATGAATATAAATGTTAACTAATCTTATTTCCTAGAAGATGGTGGTTCTCTTAACATTTTTTGCATTCAGATCCGTAAGTACTTTTTGATAAATGCTTAGGTACTTTGTGTGATTATGACCATTGGCCACCAAGTTAGCCACTTGTTTTATAAACTTGAGCCAGTCAGGTATGGGAATAACAATGCATGCCTTAGTCAAGCAGGAAAATGAAACTTTGAAAACACTATGCTGCAAAAATACTAGACAATATAGGACTCTATAAAAGTCCAGTGGTATTTTTTCTGCCACCTGTCCTTATAAAGTTCCTTAAATTTCTTAACAGGTGTCAATTCTAACTCTTAACATAACTGTTAGATACTGTTTGTATTTAACCAACACCAAAAACGTAATGTGACTCTCAGCCCAAAACTGTTTTAAATAAGCCCACGGCCACCTGTGTGCTGTCAACCACTTATTACTGGCATTCTTTCAACATGGCCAGAAGTTAACTTTTGTCTGGTTCTACTCTGAGGAGGCTCTTGCTGAATAAAGGTCTTATGAAATTCTACAGGTAAAGATAGGGGGACTGATAGATAAAAGGATTCTGTACATTTAAAATCCAGAATTGGAGTCAACCACCATGAAGGAAGCCTGATTTCATCCCTAAGAAGGAAATAGCAAATCTTAGTCCCAGAGGTATTTCATATTACAAGTGTAAAATCTACAATTTAATAGACTTCAGAAGCAGTAGCACTGAACATAATTTTTCCTGTTCATTTCACTTCGAGTGGATGCCCAGGGAAGTCAGATTTATGGACATAAAAACTGAGCCAGAATGATTCCTTGGAGAATGGATAGGAGAGGGAGAATAGACAGGCTTTCAGGCTCTTGGTCATGGGTCCAAGACCATAAGGGATGGGCAGTGAGGACCTGGGACAGGCTCCAATGAGATAAGCCTAGGTTTGGATGGGTGCCCATGAGGGCACTGAACATATAGGGGTGAGCAAAAGTAAGTTTACAGTTGTGAGTATGCGAAACACAGAGTTTATTCTTATATTATTTTTTAAGTACTGAATTATTTTCTATGCAAACTATAAACCTACTTTTACCCACCCTGTATCAATGTCTTCTTTATATGAAGACTCCCTTAAGAAAAGTTTTGCTCTTGAGAACTGGGGTACCTATGGTATTCCTGGAAAAAAACCCAAAACTAGTTGGTTTTTATCTTATGGACTCAAGGAATCATATCACCGATCAATTTTTTTACCTACTTCTAGAAAGAGCTGACTCTCATAGCAGTCTGTGTAAGGGACTATTCTTTCTGCTTTTCAGTCACCAACTCAAGTAATCCTCACAGTACTATACAAATAGTAATTAATACATATCCCCAATGCAGTAGACGTATTTTTTTCAGATGAGGAAATCCAGGTACAATCAACTTGCCAAAGGGCACAGCTGCAGTAAGTGGCAGAGCTGGGATTATAGTCAGGCGGTCTGGCTGCTTGATCCAAGATCTTTATTTCTGCCTTACTGTCTCTTACAGTAAGTGTAGAGGTACATATTTATATCATTCCTCACTTTATCTTATTTTTCCTAGTACGCATTACTTTTTCTTCAACCCAATTTTTCCCACTTAACTTCTAAAAAGAAAACTATCTGGTGTGTATATTTTTTTGCAAGTCACTCTGAATTCACATGGAAAAATAAAGATCACACATTCCAGCATATATACATTTCTATTTTCGAATTGGTCTCCACAGCATTTTATATGTATTGACCAAAAAGTGTCGATTTTAACCGATGGAAAAGGAGCGCTGGATGCACGGAGAAACTGACCCCCTTGAAGTCACCTGACTTAACGACACATGCAGCCCAGGAACCAAGCACAAAGTAAATATTACGGTTTTTTAAAGCGCACATTTTGTGGAATGGTCGGCTCAAGCTGGTCTGGGATTTACGAGAGAGCGCGAGGTCAGCTTCCAACCGTAACGAGGACGGACGCTGGAACCGGGACGAGCCTGAGGCTCCCTCCCCGCTGCAGCCCAGCTCCGGGTCCCAGGCGCTTTCCTTTACCGTCACCGCCCGGCCGGGGGGGCGGCCCCCCGAGATCAGTAACACGCTTTCCACTCTGAGAGCCTCCGAGTCCCCTTTCCACCCGCCACCGGACGGGAAACGCGGCCCCGCCGCCCGCCAGAACCCCGCTTCCCGTTCCTTTTCCCGTCTCCTTCGCCCTGACGCCCGGGGAGGCCCAGACACCTCCCCCCCGCCGCCATCGTCGACGGCTCTCCTAGGGCCGCACGCTCCCCGCCTGCACGACAGTGGTCCCGGCGTCTCGCCACCCCGGGCCCCCGACCCACCTGCGGTCCCGGCGCCGGCCACGACCCCGCAACCAAGGGCAGCGGCGGG